CCGCCCACATGACAAGCAAGGAATGTCCTGAAGTAAACTTCAAGGTTGTCCGAAAAAACGTATCATTATTTTTTCAGGTGTGCGTGAAAGCATGAATCAATCGTACAACATTCTCATGACATACATCGCCCCCGATTCTGAGTATCACATCATCGACGCTCTCAAGGTGAGTGGTCACAGTACGTGAAAAATCCCTTTTATGGGTAATTGCTGCGTTCCGTGAAACTGCGACGTATTTTACTTGTGTACGGGGTACCGTTTAAATTGTGCAGGGAGTATAATTATCGCTAACGGGTTTTGTGGTTTTGCCCTTAGACGAAAACACCGCGACATGATGTCATTCAGTTCTACTGAAAAGGTGTGATAAATGGGTGAAATCCAGGTTTGGGAGTTCCCATCTCTCATGCAGTTTCTCCCATCACTTAGAAACTATGAAATTTTTTTCACTGGAAGAAACCAGTGTGATTTCGAATGTATTGAGAGAAGACATAGTCTAAGAATAGCCTTGAAATGGGGCAGTCTTTTCCAATGAGCTTTACCCGCTTCATTCTTCACCAAAGATTTGATCTCCCTAGTTGCACACTTGACGCCAGTATTGATTCAACTCACTTGCTTTTTATGAGCTGATGCGAGCCCAGCCGAAAGTGATCCCGCGCTGCCTTAAAGTGCGCAGTTTTGGGATCCGTCCATCTCTGTTTATCGCTCGGAACACCTATGGCGTAAAGGAACGGTCCGCGATAGCCTACGAAAATGCAATAGACTGGTATGGCAGGGTAATTTGGTCCGCCAGTTTACGTTGTGCCAGTTTACGGCCGAAAGTTGTAAGGTGTAGGAGTTATGCTGCAAAATTGCTCCAGTGGTACCTCCTTTCACAGTGACTCCGCCTCCAGACTCCGCCTTCAAAGCTCGCCTTCCAACCAAAAGCGATGCTGGCGGACATGCACCATGAAATGGATGCTGTGTTTTCTCTTGGATTATGGGGCTCATTACAAGGAGTCAGCAAACTGGAGTCGCCCCAACAAGCGGTTTTTTCGGCATTTCATCCGTGCAACTGTGAGGCTGAAGGGGGTCATATTAAAGGTGTTTCCAACGTTCCCTTTGGGATTCTACCCTCACGGACGAGTCACTCGGCAACTTCTCTTCCACATTTCACCAACACACCTACGCTCCTTGTCGTGGACCGTGCCTTTAAATATCCTGACTGTACCTGCTCCCGCCCACGCCCCCCCCCCTTTCCAGGAGTCGCGTATGGTCCCAGGTTGCCATAGGCTACTGGTTCAGAAGGTAGGTTCCTATCAATATCGCCGCTGTTAATACAGCACTACACCCTGACCGTGAATTTCTCTTACCACCCCTCACTACGCGCGGACCACAGCTGGAGGTTGGTTGGGAACTGAAGGCTGGATGACCTGTCTGGGCGACTTGCTACACACCCCAAGGCTTCGGAAATTCCGCTCTGGGAAGGGAATCACTGAAGATGCAGTTGGTAACCCCTTACTGTCTCTCCTAGAAGAGCGCATAACTTCAGCTTCAAAACTCTCTAGGTTTCGTCAGCGACTGGGAAAATCTACCCCCTTCCAAACCACTGGGTGAGCATCATTCCCCCTCTTATCATTCCTTTTCGACGTCCCATGTACCGTATGACAAATTGCAGCGGACTGGCGTCAAGCAGCTGATCAAAAACGTTCCATATGGAAATTGTCGAAATGATGTCAGAATGACGTCATTTTCTGGTTTTTCGTGGTGACAACGTAGACATTTGTATAGGGCACTAACGGGATGTTTTCCCAATACTGCAATCGTTTCCATTTCAACTCGTGTCATTTCAGAAGACTCATGCTCATCTACCGATGATCGTTTATATGAAGTTTCCGGAAAGTAATACCCTACAGTCATACGACAGAAATATGAATGTAAGCTATATTGATTATTACTGAGTTGTTTGTTTTTTGTTTACTTTTCTTGCACACACTAGAATGACGTCATCATCCAAAAGAATCCTGTTTTGGCTTCTATGGGATTAGTCTCGGAGTCCATTAAGACGTCATGGCTCCCTTGAACCTCCGCCCCGCTCGTCCATTTATTGCAACTGCTTTCCGTGTTGTGGTCTCTTTGTTGGCTGTTTCGCTTTCCTCTCATTCTGCTAACATGTGCCCTCGGCTTTATTTACTCTTCGCAGCCCTACTTCTCGAAATTCAGGCCACATTTGGATAGGAGTACCTGCTGAGTGAGGTAGATTTTGCCAAAACTTAGTCCCTTGGGTATTAGGACCCACCGAACACAAATATATATCCGCTTGAAGCGAAAACGTACGGCACACCTAGCGCTCGAAAAGACGTTTTCGCGTCAAAAATGTGTCGTGATGTAGAGGTCAAGCTTTCGTGCTTCAGGTGCAAGCTAACCTTGCGGGAACCTAGGCAAGTCATCATGTGTATGACGCACCAACGGAAAGCGTCGTAATTTTTATTCTGAATTTACTGATTTTGTTCCGTTTCATCCGGCACTAAGCTCCCCCTCCCCCTTGCCGTTAGCCTGTACAGCGCCAGGCAAAATTATTTGCATAAATAGTTTGGTAAGAGGGGTGGCCCCTCCTCCCACCATACCTGGGTCGAAGTGAACCATTTTTGGCACGGTGAACGTAAGCTGGTGAAAGGGTGTCGGTAACACGCCAGAGAAAAACAGGGAGGGGGCGAAGGCGCGTCATACTTTTCTAATTCCGGCTAAGCAGGGTTACAGCATCCTTGGAGAATCCAGACAGGGGGGAAGGCCGTCGTGCTTATTTCGGCCTTAGAAAGGAGGTCGTACATTTACCACCCGCCCTCTAGCTTGGCCGGTGCTGCCAAAACTACGTGCTACTTACTATTAGGTTGTCCGGAAAGTTCTCAGCGTTTTGTGCACCTATTTTTTTTGTACATTCACTGCTGATTAAAAACTCATTCTGCCTTGCTTCTCAGTAGCACATCCTGTAGTGTAGGAGGAAGTTCTTTGCTGCTATCTGAGGGGTTAATTGGCCCGTTTTCACCATTGCTTATTCAAACCCCCCCGTGTTTTTTTTAATAATGATTTTTGTGAAGGCATGCTGAAAATGAGCCACTTCGGACGATTTTTTTCTTCGACTATTTAATTGGGATACTATTAAATCCGCAATGCGAAAACACGCTCAACAAATTTAAGCAGGTATGGGGAGCCCAATGTTGTAGAGAAAGCAGTTGTCGGCGATGGCTCAGAGGAGTATTTCGTTCTGAGAGTTTCAAGCCTTGAAGATGAACCTCATAGCGGTCGACCTAAAGCAATATCTGACGAGGATTTTAGAGGAATTTTGGAGGCTGACCCATCCCAAACACTTCGAGAGGATAGCAGAAGAGCTAGGCGTTGGCGAACTCCCACATTGTTGGCAGATGGTCTGGTTACGCTATTTTAGGAAAGCTGAAAAAATTCGGCACAATTGGCGGTGCCCCACAATCGGGGCCGCCAGGCGCTGTGCAACCGTGTCCAGTGACCGGCAGGAATCGGCACGTCTCGAGGTTCCTTCTGCATTGCTTTTGCGCAGCAGAAACGACCTGTTTTTGGGCCGAATTGTCACCTGTGATGAAAAATGGGTCATGTATGATAACAGGAGATGTTCCGGACGTTCCGGACAGTGGTTGGATTTCGACGAACCACCGAGGTAATTTTCAAAGCCGAACCCTCACGAAAAAAAGATTCTGGTCACGGTTTGGTGGTCATCGGCTGCTATGATCCACTATTAACTTTTTTAATCACTAGTGCAAATTTCAACAGGTTGATTTTTTTCCAAACCATCACAGCAGAACCCTACTGTGAAGAAATCGACGAAGTACCGAAAATTTTGTCAGATGCAGCCAACACTTATCAAAAGAAAGGGTCCGATTCCTTTGCATGACAACGCCCGCCCACATGTTTCACAAATCACTATCCATAAATTGAACGAATTGGGGGTTGAAGTCTACCTCAACCGCCATATTCTTCAGACATTTCGCCAACCGACTATCACCTTTTCTAATTTCAGAACTCCCTTGCTGGAAAATACTTCATCAATCAGGACCAGGCAAAAAAGCCTTAGTGGATTTCGTGAATTTTCGACCACCCAGTTTTTTATTTGATGGGATTTCTCGACTGCTGTCACATTGGCAAAAGTGTGCTGATTCGAATGGTGCCTATTTCGACTTAAATCCGATGAGTATTAAAAAAAGTTACGATCGTTTAAAGTGAAACATCCAAAACGCTGAGAACTTTCCGGACAATCCTAATATTTTTGTAGTCTGACGCCCAAGCGGAAAGGACGCAGAAGTGACTGCGCCTGGCCCTCTCTACTACATTGGCATCACTTTTTTTGTTTCTTGACGAAAGATTGTCAACTACTGGGTGAGGCCTCGCTGAGCCTGAGGGAGGGGACACTGTGATTGGATGAGACATTCCTTTTGGCGTCATAATCAGAACTCCCTCGCTGGAATCTACCGGGCCGTGTTACATCCGTAAACGAAATGAAACTAGTATAGTTACCATCTTCGCAAAAGTTTACAAGACCTTACACATTACATTGCAAGACCCGGTAGAGTTTCTGAAAGGCCGCCTCTCCCCACTGTTCGTAGAAAATCCATTGATTCTTTCTCACAAAGGGTTTGGTTCTCCCACCACCTCTTTTTGGCTGGCAAACGATTTATCATTCGCGTGGCTCAGAATCGTATTCTCCCCCATTCTGGCACTAACTGCCATCCAAAAAAAGTTGGCGAAACAGTTTAGAAGCAAAGCTTTGAAGCGCCCCTTGTGTGAAATTGGAGTTACTGTAACCCCCGGGAGCTATTGCATTCAAACTGTTGAGTCCGTTTTCCCTATAGCTCGCTTCTCTGCTGCCTATGCAACGTGTGCTGAGTGACAGCACGCTTTTGTTATCTCTCGTAAACTTTTACGGCCCCTCCCCCATTCTTTGGAAATGATGTCATCCAGCTCCAACTAACTCATCGCCATTCATACTATTACAAAGCTCTGTTTGTATGTTATATATAGCGAAAAGACCAAAGATGAACGTGGGTGGAACGAAGAGGAAATTCGAAGACACGAAAAAAATGACATGAAAAAGAGAAAGCTATAGTGGGCAATATGAAGGCATCTTTCCCGACCTCGGGAAGTCAAGCTCTGTTTAGACCAGGGAACAGCATCACTGGAAGAACCCGATCGAGGGGTGGCACTTGGTTGATGGGGTGGGGTGTTTCATAGCTAGGTAACTCCCCCTAGTTGGTGGCACTTGAAGCACTTGAAATCTGA